CAACGCCACCAGAGCGACAACTATTCCGATAAGATCACTAAGCTGTTTGTTGTCAGATATCCATCTCCATCTTGATTCATAAGGGATTTGCATACGTAGTGAAAGGCATCGGCGATTAATGCGATGGAGTGAGTATAGAACCCAACTATATGCTGTCAGTTAGGGTTCCCAAGATGATATTTGACTTACCAGCCAATTCAGCTGCAAAGAACGAGAAAGATATACATATTGTGGCTATCAGCCTCTGCTTCTTTGTGATTTTCATTGTAATATCTTGAGGTTCTGGTTTTCGTTTAGAAATTCTGTTATAGATTCGTTTGGATTCTCGCTTCTGGTCCGTTGGGTCGACAGCTTTGCAAATCCAGATTTTAAGGGGGTTCTTATTATCAATGGGGTCAACTCGGCTTTATACTCCTTTGAAAATTTCAAGGAGTGGTCCTCCGCACTTAAGAGGTCTGAATAGATGAGTTCTCTGAGGAAGCTGGCATAACATCCCATCAGCTTGTAGGGCAAACAGCAGCGAATTGTTGTCGAAAACAGCCAAACAAGTCAGAGATAGATCCCATACCCATAGAATATACCGATAGAAGTCAGCGAAGCGAAGACGGATATTAAAAAAGCAGTTTATCAAGGTGTTGGCTCATGTAGCTATCCGTGATCGGGTTCCGGGACAATGATTGGGGTAGCATTAACTTGCCGGGCCGAAGATGGGATACAGGTATTTTTTGGTTAGGATTCCTGTTTCACGACAGCTCTTTGTGCTTGGCGAATATAAAGCTCCGCGCTGTTGTGTGCGTTGGTGATGTTGGTTGTTGCCATTGTAAGGTTGGCTTGCAGTGAAAACTATACAAATGGCCAATCTTGGATGAGCACTCTAATACACTTCAAAGACTTCTATATTGCATCTATTCATATGGCTAGATGTTAAATCGCTATCTGTTTTGAGGTTCGCCGAGCGTCTTGTGTAATGTCACTGTGTCCCTAGGGTATGCAAATCTGTGTGTCTCCTATTCACCGATATTCTAGCCACGAAAGAATTTGTAGAGAGACAGTTTTAGAAGGGTAACCATGGCAAAAGCCGACGTTGGTTATAATCAAAGACATTTGATTTCGTAATACAAAACGATGTGTTGCTGATATGGAGAACACAGTTGGTGACTGTACCAGCCAGTATTGGACCCTGATGCTCAGGGGTAAGAATTCTCAAAGAAACAGTGTTTGGCTCGGAACTCTGTGATTCCCTGGCTCATTTAGCCCGTGACAAAAGGCAACATATCCCGATTTCAACTCAAGATATCTACACAGTCTAGCTCACTGAAGTGCTGAAAGAAACCCGTTGAAACAAATCGCATTATTTTTTCTATAAATCGACCAAACGCCATGCGTAGATGCCACCGCAATCGACAAATCACTTCTTCCTGGTAGGACGAGCGTTCTTGAGCCTCTTCTTCTCCTTCTCCTGTCTTGCCTTGCGGATATCGTCCCTGCCCTTGAGTTCCTTCTTGCTTCCCATACCATCGCGGAAACGACCCACGCGCTTCTCTCTCGCCTCGTCGACACGCTTCTTGCGAACCTGGAAGTCGTCGCGGTACTTGTCTGCCTCCTTTGGTGCCCTCTCCTGCTTGTGTTTGTAGCGGACACCAGAGGGAATGTGGGCGACATGGTTCGCACCGCCAGGACGTTCTGCCTCGCCGACGTGAGGGAGTTTGCCGAGACGGTTGGCACGCTTCCACTTGTCGAAGCGGCCACTTTGGAAGCTGGCTGCGATCTTGACACCACTCTCGCCACGGATCATCTTGGCACCCTTGGATCCGTCGTCGTCGTTCTCTCGTGACACATACTTCTTCGACTTCTTGTCCCAACGCATCTTTGAGCGAGTTGGCTCACCGAAGCTCTTGGCGTTCTCATCATTTGTAAGATCCATGGTCACGCCACGAGCAGCCTCCACAAAGTTGGAAGAGTCCTGGCCACCGGACGACACGCCGTAGCCACGTTCCTCGGCGGCGTTGAATGTTCGAGGTGTGTAAGACATGAAAACTTCTGAGTCTCGCCAATCCGTCTGTCCCTTCTTTGAGTTGGTGTTGGATACGGTGACCTCCAAGCCATCATCTGACTCCTCAGGGGCCTCGTCCACATCCATCTGGTCTTCATCTTCATCAGACATGGCGTCCACCTCGGCACCAACTGGCACATCGTCATCAATGCCATCGAAATCGTCGTCATCCTTCTTCTCTGTTTGCCTTCGTGGCGTAATTCTCTTTCTCAATTGCTTCATTACTTCGGCAGCTTCAGTAGTTCCCTTGTCTCGACGTCCACCGATCTCAAAGATAGTCTCCTGAGGCCTGAAACCACTGATTCTAGCCAACATATTGGCTCGTGCTTGTTCAGCTCCATCAACGTCCTCCCCAAAGAGTGCATGAAGTTGTGTCCAACCCTCACTTCCAACCAATTCTTTCGATCGCTTCGCACTTTGACTAGCTGCCGAGTTCCTTGTTCTCAAGTAGAGCTTCTCTGCCTTGATAGCAACTCCTCGTAGCGCTGAGATGTCCTCACTTTCGTACAAAGCTTTGTTAAACCATTCTACCTGAGCTTCCACAGGGTCTCGTTTTAATGCGCCAACAACCACATCATCTGCAAATGATGGGTTTTTGGCCTCCTGACCAATAACAAGTCTCTTACCAAGGAACAGCTGAAGGTCAAGGAGATAAGGAGCGTCAGTATCTCTTACGAGACTGTAACTCCAACCACGTTGGCCTGCTCGAGCAGTACGACCAACTCGATGAACAAAAACCTTGGGCTGGGGAGGAAAGTCGAAGTTGATGACATTGGCAAGAACTGGAATATCGATACCACGAGCAGCAACATCAGTAACGACAAGAATGTTTGTCTTGCCTCTTCGAAAGTCTTCGACCTGAATTCTTCGCGCAGTCTGATCAAGGGATCCGTAGACATAGGAAACAGCGAAACCGGCATAAATCAGTAAGTTGGCGAGGTACTCGACGTGATGCTTGGTTGCTGTAAAGATGATCGTGGAATGTTCTGTAGGCTTCCCGCTTGAACCGTCTGCACCCCGTTTTCGCTTCTTGGATCCTGTTTCGGAGTCCTCAGCGCTCACTGGGGCTCCGACTGGCATCTTGATAACGTCGTGGAGGATATGCAACAAAGATCCCTCCTTTTCAGCACCCTTGACAGAGAAGAAAGCACTCTCGAGATCAGGAGAGACCTTTGTCTCGGCATCAAGTCGCACGAGACTTGGATCTTGTAAGCCGGCGCGAGCGAATTCAACCAAAGAGGCAGGCAACGTCGCAGAGAAGAGTAAACTTTGCCTTGAAGGTGGAAGTGCATGAAGGATTTCAGTCAACTGTGCCGCAAAACCCATTTCAAACAAGCGATCAGCTTCATCGAAAACCACGTATTTGATAGAAGAAAGGTCCAAAGACATCTCAACCTTCAAATGAAGGAATCGTCCAGGTGTTGCGATCACGATATCGGGATTGGCGGCCATAGATCCGAACTGCTCCTCCAGACTATCACCACCAACAAGCAAAACGCACTTTAAGTCGGTCCCTCTGCTGAATTCCTTCACAACCTTCAAAGTTTGGATCGCGAGTTCTCGAGAGGGCGAAAGGATAAGCGCTCGTGTTCCGAACCTGGCGCTATGCGCGCGCAATCGTTCGATCATAGGAATAACGAAGGCTGCTGTCTTTCCGGAACCTGTCCTGGCCATGCCGACCAAATCTTTTCTGTCCAGAATCAAAGGAATGGCTTTACGTTGGATTGGAGTTGGGACCGAGAAACCTTTCCGTGTAATGGCCTTTAGGAGGTTGCTGTTCAGACCTGGAAGATATTAGTAGTTTCTTCACCTCATATGTTGCCATTCTTACCCATTGCCTGGAAACCTCCACCCTTCTTGACTGTTCTACCCTTAAGATTGGATGCTTTTCGAAAAGAAGCCGCCTGTTGAAGGGCAATGAAGGCCTCGTCGTTGTCATCGTTGCCGGGCTCTGGGCCGTTCAACAGGCCGTCGAAGTCGAAGTCCGCGCTGCCATCGTTGCCGCCATTCTCGTTTTCGCCGTCGCCGGGGTATAACGACCCAAAGATATCAATCTCCCCATCAGAAGGGGTCGGTGAGACGCCGCGTTGTGGCATTGTGACTCGCCGTTGATATCAGCAATATGTATGCAGAATTAAGATAGTCTAACAGGCTCAGTAGCTCTCTTTCCAATAATTTTTTCTGTTATCTTATCTCGCGGGGCATATAAGTGGGTCACTTTGTTCCAGCGCTGCGACTGCCTATCGCCTACTATTAATCTACCCTTCACTCACTTTCAACCTTGTTGGTTCTTCATCATTTCAACTTCTAGAAGGCGATCAATTGCCCATAATGTCCAGCAAAGATTCGAAAGAAGATAAAGACGCGCTCGATGCTCTTGAGCTTGAAGCCAAAGAATTTGATAAGGTCAGTTGTTTGCGACAACTATATCAGTCATCAAGACTCCCGCTGACTCTCCCTCTAGGATGCTGAGATTGACCGCATCTTGAAGGCCTTTCGCCTCGACGCGTATGTGAAACCCCCGTCATTTCTCTACATTGAGATCTAATTTTCTCATAGTTATGCCGTTCTTGATCTCCAACCTGGTGTCCCTGACTCAGACATTAAAGTTACTTACCGCAAGAAGTCTCTACTCATCCATCCCGATAAAACAAAGAATCCACTGGCTCCAGATGCGTTCGATCGGCTAAAGAAGGCCCAGACAGAGCTTATGGACGAGAAGCACCGTGCACGACTAGATGAAGCTATCGCGGACGCTCGAATGTTGCTTATTCGTGAAAACAAATGGACGGTGGACAGCGAAGAGCTCAAGACGGAAGAGTTCCGAAAGATGTGGCGCGCAAAGGCCCGAGATGTTCTCATTGATAACGAACATCGCCGACGTCGCCAGATGAAAGCCCAGCTCCAGGAAGAAGGTCGTGAACAACGACGTACTGATGCCGAGGTGGAAGAGCGTAAGCGCAAGCGACAGCATGAACAGGATTGGGAAGCCACCCGGGATGAGCGGATCAGCAGCTGGCGACAATTCCAGAAAGGATCGGGTGGCGAGAAGAAAAAGAAGAAGAAGCTCAAGCCCATCGGCTAGAGACCTTGGTATTTCGCGGGAGTTTATTGGGAAGACAGCACGAAGGGACACGGCTACACTACACAATGTCGCGCTGGTATGTGAGTTAAATAATTATGATGAACGGTTTGGACTCTAATCAAGTCAGACAAGGTGCCCCCAGGTTTCATGCCTCACTCGACTCTGGAGACGCCGGTTTTCAGCACGGTAAGTTCAACCTGAACGTGTATTATTGACGTAGACCGCGTGACGTATTCGTAGTATCATTCATCCAACGTGCGCCTTCAAGTGACTTGAAATGCAATTCAATGAGGAGAGTGGCCTCGTTGGAGCTTCCCAGCTCCTCTTCTATACTACAGGATTAGTATACAACAGATCTGATGTAGTTGGCAGATCTACATGAGTAGTTGGGCTATCATAACCCTCCACCGACGCCATACAAAAAATATGAACCTTTTGAACACCAACAAATGCGCTTCTCCCACTCTAATTTTAATAATACCCCCAGTATATGATACATATCATCATCAGTCGGAAGTTATTTATTTCTTATCCTTATCATCAGATTTCTTGCTTGAGCCGTCATTCTCGCTTGAATCATCATCCGCCTTTTGGTGAGCGGGATTATTGGTCAGTGTGTGCCAAAGCGATTTGAGGAAGCCCTCATTCTTGTGCGATTCAGGGTCATTTGGGTCCCTTGAATGGTCAGTATCAAATGCTCAAATTGATCAGGCTGCAATCAGTGCCTTACCTTGAAGAACCGACGCCCATCACACGCTTGGCGGTCTTATCACCCATTTCGTCGGCAAGCAACTCAACGATAGTTCGCTGGTTGGCCGTCAGATACTTGGGCATACTGACTCGGTATTCGACCCGGAGATCACCGTTGACACCACGTCGAGAACCGAGACGCTTCATTCCCATACCAGGAAGTGTGATCTTGTCACCAGTATTGGTACCAGTGGCAACTTTGACATTGACTGTTCCATCCAGAGTAGGGATCTCTGCATGGCCACCCAGTAAGGCAGTTGTAAGAGGAATATTGGCAGTGTAAAGAATGTTGGAGCCGTCTCGACGGAACTTGGGGTCCTTGGCAACTCGGATAAAGACGTATAGATCTCCGTTCTGGCCACGAGCATTGGGGTCGGAAGATCGGCCAGTAGCAGGCGCGTCACCAGCACCGTCAACTCGAAGTCGCATACCATCCTCGATACCGGCAGGGATATCCACCGTGATTGACTTTCTCTCCCTCACAACACCATCTCCTGAGCATGTCTTGCACTCAGCTCCCTTGGGAATAACCGTACCGGTACCCTCACAAGTTCCGCAAGTAGATGCCATTTGGAAGCCACCCTGCATGAAGTGTACTCGAGTTCCAGTTCCATCACAAGCACTGCAGGCACTCCTCGATGTGCCGGCTTTCAGGCCGTTACCCTTGCATGTACCGCATGTGCTGAGTGGTGTGAGCGAAATCGTCTTGCTGGTGCCTTTCGCCGCCTCCATAAAGCTGATAGTAGCTTGAACTTCGACATTGTCACCGACCAAGATCTCCTGCTGATGAGCTTGCTGTCGTCCACGGCGGCCAAAGCCTTGTTGTCCGGTAAATGCTGAAAATATATCCTCGAAGTTGACACCACCTCCGAAACCTCCCTGTCCGCCAAAGCCGCCGAATCCTCCTTGTGTACCAAATCCTCCAAAGCCAGAGAATGGATGCCCTCCACCGAAACCGCCACCACCACCTGGGGCACCTCCCCCGCTGGGATCGAAGCCAGCGGCGCCGAATTGGTCGTACTGCTCGCGCTTCTTGGGGTCGGACAGAATCTCGTATGCGGATTGAATATCGGCGAACTTATCCTTGGCCTGGGGGTCCTTATTCGTATCGGGATGGAACTTTTTCGCTAGGCCGTAGTATGCCTTCTTAATCTCGCCGGCCGATGCGCTCTTACTAACACCAAGAGCCTGGTAAGGATCCTTCTGCTGGACGGCATTTGTAGCATGGAACAACTATCACATATCAGAATGTAAAACTTTATCAATTGGTATTGGCCTACTCACCCGCTTCGCTGAAGGAGCTCGAGTCCTCTTCCTCAAAGAAGATTGGTTTTGAGAGCCGGCCCGCCATGCCGCAGTGTGAAGCTGGGCACCTTTCTTTAAACACTGAATCTTAGGTGCATTTTGCGCCAGCACACGCGCAGGAGCGGCGGCCTTTGATATCAAACTAGGATTCATCTTGAACTGCAAGAATTCATCTGACTCTAAAAAAAAAATACAGAGAAATGCAAAAGGTGCAACGAGGGAAGAGTGAAACGTCACGAGCAACTAGCGGAATAGCTCGTGCTTCTCTTTTTTTCGAGACCTATCTCGAACTTTTCCATGGACAAGCCTCAGGCATCCAGCTTCGTCATAACGGCCGGCTTCGGCTGCGCTATACACGGAAGCTTATTGGTCAATATGTATTCAGGAACAGAGAAAGCCGATGAAAAAGCAGCTCGCTCAGGAAATAACTTTTATGATGAGTTCAGGCAAGAAAATTAGTAGGATAGTCAGAGTTTATGATCTCAAGTCTAGAATCATTCCTATATGTCATATATAGCTATCAAATTAAGAAGAAACTCAATACTCGAATATCATCGCAAAGATATCGGCTGCTGTCTTATGCCGAAAGTACCCCGACTAGCCGAACATTCAATATCATGCATGAGAAGCCGAGAACAGGCTATAGAATGCCGTGATTCTTGACAGATCATGAGTGGTTGTGAGTCAGCAAGATCATTTGTCATTTTCTGTGCAGGATGGACTTTGAACAAGTGATTATGTCCTCGGTTGTCCTCTTTATTGAGTAGGGGTTAGATTTTGAGCTAATGATCAATTGCTGGCTTATCATGATAACTTCCCAGGCAACGCCAATGTCCAATTTTTAATGACTGACAAACTTTTAAAAAAAATCGCAGTTAACAAAACAACGAAACAGATATAAGAGAATAATAGTGCCATAGTATTCGCATAGTCCTTAAATCCTTCATGAACCTTTGGGTATCAGAGTACCCTGAAACATAGTTTAAAGCCATTATCCGGCTCTGCTTAAAGTGGTATCCTTATGACGTAATCTGAATCCGCGCAAGACATTCAAGTCTATGTCGTGAGTCTCCCCGTATGCGCAATGCAATCATGCCCGTATGCCTTTGCAGCCCTTTGTAAAAAGAAAATTCGCAGGTCGCTGGAAGCAAAAGTGCTGTAACGCTTGCGTTGAAACGCCAAAACTCCATACCAATGTAACCGTTCCTTGCGTAAAATCCATCGCTTATAAGCGCCCTTATTTTGCAAAAGTCGGGGCCTTGCCTCCCGCGTATGGTTTGGAGATGCGACTAGGATCGTGACGAATCTTGTAAATAAAGTCGACTATTACGTCGTTCTCTTGCACGCCCATTCCATTAAAATGTTTACGCACGGCGAGTGCCAGCTGGTCTTTGCTCTGGCGACGAGCTTGTCGGCGTCGAACCATCGTTGGAGAATGGATGCCGATGCCATTCGGCTGCGAAAGGATCCATTGGCAGTATGGGCTCGAGAATGAGCTCGGTGTGTTCAGGCGATGCTCGCGACGGTAGGCATGGAGGACATCTCGGTCGAAGGAGGCCCAGTGCAGCTGGGAGGAAACTAGTTAGCATCTTGATGCAGAATCAGAGCGACCATAGTCTGGGAAGTGTTGCACAAGTGGCTCGATAAATAATTGAGACTTGAAGCTGAATTTGCGAAGGAGAGCTACAGGACGGCAGAATAAAGCAGATACTCGGACAATACAGTGCTTCAGGTATTCTCTAGTAGTCGTTGTATGCTCGAAGTCTTTCAACCATCTCGGGGCGCGACCGTAGATCAAGGGGGAACGGAGGGGTTTGACGAACACTAGGGGGAGAAGGCTCAGCTGGCGGTTGAGGGGGAGCAGCGGCCGTAGCATTTTGGACCTCGCGAAGGTGAGAATGGTTCTGTTGGCTGGCGTTACGACGCATCTTCGTTGAGGTATGGCCATTCCCACCCTTTTCCTTGGAGTTGGGTGTGTCCGCCTTGTCGTCGTGATTACGGGATGATTTCGCGGGAGGCATGATGGGCTGCTGAAAGATGTGTGGATGTTGTTAAATTGACTCGTCGCAGGAAAATGAGAGGCTAATGGGAGGAGAAATTCAATCACATAATAATGGAATAGGTAGTAGCAAAAGGATCAACGATTTGTGGAAGGAAATGAGACGGGAGAAGAGTTGGCCGGAGTCGGTGCGTGATCACTTATTTTTCGGTGGATAGGTACTACCTTAGGGACGGCCTTACCAGTACTATCACTGCAATAGCGTGGCAGCTGGCTACTTCGCAAGTAGAAACCTCCACTACAAAAGCGGAATAGCCCCTTTGGCGTCTGACTTCTGATCAGAAGACTCGGGGTGAGTCCCCGAAGGAGTTTTTGCACTTTTTTGCAACTTCTATTATGTCGATAAATTTTACCTGGATTTATTTTGCGATCACAGGAAATGTCCTATGTATCGTTACGACTCGATATGGTGGAGTTATAAGGAAGAACATATTTAAAGTTGCGATTTCTACGGCAGCCCGAACCCGACGTTTGCCCGGCCCAGTTCAAGTCAGTAAAGCGATTAGATACCTACCTAATAATTAAAGAATGAAAGCTTAAAGAAATAATAACTTAAACAATGGCCATTCTTTTCCGGGCTGGCTTTTCGTTATTCCATTCTGGCCAGCCCCGAAGTGTGAAACTGACTCCCAAGGTTCCTGGACAAGAATCAATTGACTACTAACCATATAAATAATTTTAGATCGGTCCTCAGCATCAGCAGAAAGAGGAAGAGATCAACTAAGGAGCTGCGGAAATAAATCACCTGAGAACCCTTTCAAACGTTCTGGACGGTAGATCATCCATTTGCCTTTTAGCCTTTACTGTTACTCGTTAGTGCAGGGGGCCTGCGTTGTTAAGGAGCTCCATAAACTCAACGGTGCCCCTCATTGAAATATTCCGAAATCAAAGAGGTAACGAAGGGCTGAACTTGAGTTCAATGTGAAAAGAGCCTTGATGTTAGGAGCAGCTCCTTTCATAAGACAATCTAGATGCTCGAACCACAGTTGTAGGCTTTGAGCATGCGATTGAGATGTTACTGCATCATTATAGCTGGACCGATGTCGCTACAACTCGTCATCGTGAACTGATCGTGTGCCCATGAAGTACTAAGACTTTTGTTCCCTTCTGCCCTTCTTTCATGGTACAACAACTAAGTCTCAAGGATCCAGGTTTGACGGAGAATCTCCGAAGCACTCAGAAGTCATGGGCTAAGCAGCCTTAACAGCACATGGTATCTTGGAACGACGGCATCAACATTTGATGAACCAGTGCTACAGATCATTAAGCCCAAAGGTCATCACGAGACTCCCATATGCCCATTCTATGTGGGACCTTGTCCAGACTAAAAACCACCCCCACGCGGTAAAGCTTGACTGCTAGTGAGTCAATCAATCAATCACTCGTCACTGGTACATCGCAAAGCGCGGCACCGTCTTAGCCTCAGCGATCGCCTTGGAACCGGAGATCTAGAAAACTCCATCACTCCACTTTGTGATCCGGCCGCATGGAATACAGCGCTGTAACTACCGATCGATTCACATTGTCAACACGCAGGACCCTCAAATCATGTGGATAAAGTATCACTTTGGCTGATGGCTATGGTTTCAAGCCAGAGATTTGTTAGGCTCATAATCGTCTCGAAACATCTCAATGTCCTCTGCTATTGGGTTGCGATGAATGCTAGTTCGTGGAGTGCCGTTCCAGGAACCTGGCTTTCCATTTCTGGCTCACCGAATAGGCTGTTCAGACCCAACAGATGCAGACTCAAGGATGAAAGGCTACTGCAACTTGCCAGAAGGATCACCGACGATGGCGTCTCGGTCGAGAACGGGATACGTCGTACTCCGTCGTTGTTGAATCTATTGGCCGATGGTCGTGCATGTTGTCGTAATTCCAGCCTCACGAGGAGCAATCGATCAGACTCGATGGGAAGAGACTCGACACGGTGTTGTGTGTTACTAGTTCATGCATGAGGCAAAATGTCATGTCTTGTGCGACGACATGGGCGATCCCTCCAGCTGGAACTCAGGGAGTGTTGAGCAAGACGTTTGTAAAAGAAATTCGTGTCACCATGTGTATATTGAACCGGATTGTTCACAGATAGGGCACCTCCAGGTGTAGGGATCTTCCCCGGACTCCAGATCATAGCCTGCAGGTTACCTATCTACTCCGCAATCCATTACGTTGATCTTGATATTTCCATGAGTGAATGGAACTCAGCGTCTGCATGTATCACGGCCAATAAAGAGTCCCTGAGATAAGGTCTAAGAGTTTGGACAAGGAGATGGCTAATCAGGGCCGCTTACATAGGGGAGGGACCTGCATACCTGAGGAAATAGTTGCAGGCGGAGGGGATGCGAGCCAATACAATCCCCAGCCAGATGTATCAGCCGCTGTGGAGAAGCATCATTGCGAAAAACCCGGGGTTTCTTGTCAGGCGACCTGTTAGCGCTCAGAAAGTTGATCAGTCTCAAAAAATGTCTTAATTTTGAGAAACATGAACAGCTTTGGGTATTAGGATAGGTGTCATGTTGTGGTTCATGAGTTGACAGTCGCTGACCAGTTATCACAAGTTTTAGTCGATGCCCTAGGAGTTGGGATGAACAAAAGCAGTCTCACTCTATTACCACGTGAAATTGACAATCAGTTTGGAGAACGAGGCATCGAATCATCCTTGTTGGCATGTAATTGATATATGGTCGATGACATAGCGACAGCAGCCTATGGTCTTGATAGTGTCATTATTAGATGTTATATTTTCACAGCTTTTGGATTTGACTTATGAGAGTATAGATAGCTCTATCTCCAGAATGCTCAATGAGACCAGTGACTGAAACATGATCAGCAATACCAAGATTTTCCGTAGGTTATGTTCACGGTATTAGAAGCAAAGAGACAAGAATAAGCTGGTGCATCATTGCCATACCCAGTAGTCGAATCACGTTGTGGATCAATGATCGACAACCTTCATGAAGACTCTAAGAAAGTTGAAACGGTTGGCGGAAGTCTTTTTACTACAATTCTCCAACTCATGCAATCAAGAGTCAGATTGCCGATGTCTCCTAATTAGAGCACCATAGATAACATGAGCTCGGCTCGAATTTAAAGGATTACGTACCGAGTATTGCTACCTCAGATACGCGTCCGTCCTGGAGCGTTGGCCATCTCCCCACCCCGATGTTCCGGGATGAAGCGCACTGCTCATGCCACCATTGAAGAGCTGATGACAAACGAGAGTGAGCCTAAGGCGGCCCGCGGGCTAGCATCATCGCATCACGCAAGGGCTGGTGTACATAATGCCAGCGTGACAGCGCAAATGGGAGCCCGGAGTGGCCCGTGAGATGTCGGCTCCCATCATACACAACTTGGCTTCGGGGTGAGTGGTCCGAGAGATCGTGAGGCGCCATTCATTGTAAACGGTTATTGGACGCAGTTAAGAATCCCAGGCTGGGGTTATGCCAGATTGGGTAAGCATTGATTGATATTGGGGTCGATGAAGAAGTCATGTCCACCTCCTGAGCTGTAATGTTGGTTGGTCGGACCCATGAAATGTCTCACAAAATCGAACCAACAAGGCCTCGAGCCTTACGAATTATTTCTGGCCATGTCTGCTAAACGTAACTAGAGAGCCTGTAAAAGTCACACTTGTTGGTGTCTATGCATGTCGCAATGGATCTCAGCTCTCGGTGAACTGCCAAGATGCCGAGTCCAAGTGCTCACCTAAATAAATCGTCAGTGAAGAGACTGATCATGGATGCCCGGTCAAAATGTGAACAGACGTTATCACATCGACAAAGCGCGATACCCCTGTGCAGCCATCCTCCCCGGAGCAAGGGTGCTCACAACCTGGTATATGAATTCATACGTTGCTTGAAAGTCCTCATTGATGAGACATTCCTTTGAATTTTTACCTAGACTGGGGAATTCCTCAGCACGCATTATACCGTCTTGTATTTCTTCTTGATCAACAAAAATCATCGGCAAGTCGGACATCAAAGACGTGAATGAGGCTGCGCTAGTAGTTTGCGCAGGGATATGGAGGTTGCATGGAGAGAGGCGAGGGTGGAGAAGCGAAGTGGAGGAGAAGACGGACGCTTTACTGAGAAGGCAAAGACATGGTACGAAAATGGTTCAGGCTCATTTAGGATGGTGAGCGTGGATTGGCCATTGAGAGACCCTTGTGTCGTAATTCAGTGAAGGTGTCGAAGCCTCGAAGGTAGGATTTTGGTTATCCAATTTGATGGGTGAGACTCAATAGACTTGAACATTTGAGGGGCTCCATCCTTTTTGTTAAAGTCAACGACCCCCCACTCTCTACCCGCACCCACGTTCCCCAGACCAAGCTCCGTCTTTTCTTCAGTTCCGTCCCGTCCATCCCACGCTTTGCTCTGCAAATGAAGCTTTTGGTAAAGCGACTACACTTGCAGTCCAGTACCTGTACTTGCTTCTTCTGGTATTCGAGACCCTTTGATATCTCGAGTACTGCGTTGTTTTGCTTTTGCTGAGCGTGCCTGAACTCTTGTTACTGTTTCTTATTTGTGGTGTGAGCCCGTTTCATCTCTGTTCCTGGTTATCTCAGCCAGAAAAGTCACTCAACTCAGGCTGTAACTTTGTCGAGTACCTCGCTTTCATCCTGTTGTTCCGTCTTCTGTTTCTCTCTTCTCTCACAACCCCTCGGCTTCCAGCATCCTTCTGTCACACTTGTGTTGCATTCGTTGCACATCTGCGAACCTCATCTCAAGGTCGGTAATTATATAACTTTCTCTACTCATTCTTTCTCTATTCACGTCTCATCTGCCCCTCTGCATCCTCATCCTTGACCGGCGCCACTTCAGACAGCAAGGACCACACTTGGGCACGTCTACTTGTACCACGAAATCACCACATGCTTCGAATCGGATCATTGCATGTGAGCCACGAGAAAAACATGGAATTGTCGTTGTCTACCACTGGTTAGATCATATCCAATACTGGGCCCAACCCCTTTGTCTCCGTCCCTGCCGTATGTCGTTCGACTCTGCTCTGCCTGCCGGACGACGATGAATTATACCTTCTCGAAACACTTGTTCAAGGATGATCCTGTCCATCATCAGTCAAATCTTCCGTGTTCCTGTCGAACGTTACACATAAATAAGCAACGACCTCAAGTCAACTCCGTCATCTAGACAAGCCTGGTCACCTTATACAAAAGGAAGAAGCCTCACCCGGCGCCGCAACAACGCCTCGACCACTATCATGTCTGAATCTTATCTTCTCTCCACTTCACAAGATATACAGGCCAGCAATACGACAACTCACAACGTTTAAATGACCAACTTTAAGATGGTCTCTCGGCATCACCCCGTATCCAGTCCTCAGTCATGGTCCCACATCCCGGCCTTCCCCAAGCTGGCCCGTCTTTCTTTGATCCACATCAATCAATAGCATCCTCCATATTAGCCGCAAAAACACGCGACACTCATTGTCTTTCGCTGCTAACATTAAGGGACCAGTCCAGCTCCAAATTGACCCCATTAGCTTGGCTCCAAGATCAAGTCTGATTTTTTTTTTTTTTTTTTTTTCATTTTATCGCGTGCCGACCTTTTGTTGTTTGCGACTCTTGGCCGTACAAGTCACGCCAGCTCGACGACATCGATTTCCGTTTCGGTCATGCGTTGATTGCAATATCCTATCATTGCGTAGGGGTCCTAGAAGTAATTATACGATTTAATTCCGTCCAGTCCCACCTTCGCGAACCCCGGCCATCACGACCCCGCTATCCTCGGTGACAGACCCAACTGCCACGCTTTGCGACTCTAGCGATTACCAACCGTCATCCTCGAGCCTTCGCCTACCACTGCCTGGCTGGTGGATTCTTAGCCCGTCGCTTTATAGCACGGCTCGACTTGCCTGAGTCTGTTTCCCAACATAAATATCGCATCGCTTTCACTTCATAGGCTTCCTATTCGGACATTGGGTATGGCCTCCGTTATAACAAATAACGTGAAACCGACCCTTCCCATATCCCCGGTCAGCTCCGGCGCAATGGGAGCTCAAAATATATCGCCTCGCGACACTTCGGATCCTACAGGTCGCGGCCGACGAAGAAGTCGCTCACCCGCAGATGACGGCGCGGACCAGGTTATAAAATCAGAAGGAAACCAAGATGGACCAAATGGCGCATCTTCCAACTCCGACGGCCCTGGCCCTGCCAGAAAACGAAGACGGAGCCGAAAGGGCCTGGACAAGAGGTTTGAGTGTAGTGCCGAAGGGTGTGGGAAGAGCTATTCAAGAGCGGAACATCTGTATGTCTCGAATTTATGCAACACTCAGAGGTCCATGCTGACATATGACAGGTACCGGCATCAGCTTAACCACAACTCTAAACAGACCTACCACTGTACTTTTCCTAACTGCACGCGGACTTTTGTCAGAGGAGATCTTCTCAAAAGGCATATGGACCGACATGCTGCGAAGGGCTCGCAACTCAACCAGAGAGATTCTATCATGGCACAATCCATAGCTCCGGGTCAATCAAACCAACAAGTTCAACCTCCTAATTTCAGTCGGAATAATTCTATCGATTACTCAAAGCACCAGCAAACGAATATGCCTTATCAAACACCACAGGTTCAAACACCTAACCCATATTCGCCCATGAACAATACTCCAACAGGCATGTACCCAAACGGAGCTATGCCAAATGGAATGGATAGTTACATGTCCCCGACCCAGGGTTATGATAATCGTACGCCGCAACTCAGCCAACCACAATCTCCTTCAATTCAGCAGAGGCCGTCTATGTCTGCCGGCAATACACCATTCAACATGATGTCTCCAATTGCGAATCAGCAAGGGTTCCCAAATCAACAGAATATGTCGCAGAATAATTTTGTCAGCCAGCAAAACGTTATGCCTATGACCCTACCTCCGGCTCAGTATCCCAACGGACAAAATGCTACCGTAGTTACTTCAGCGGAATATTCAGAGCCAGGAACCACGCAGCCTAGCGAGATGATGATGCTGGATCAGATGGCTATGCCGGCAACTGTTCCTGTCTTCGGAGAGGGAGGTGATATGAACAAGTCACCCTACGTTGGGATGCCGGAGGACTTTATGGCTTACCTCTTCAACTCCCCCAGTCAAGCCATGACACCAGTGATGGGCCCGAACTACACGAAGTCAGTAATTCCTAAGACACATCGGAACTCGTACTAACTTGAAACTAGTTATGCGGAATTGCAAGGAAATCAATTTAATATGAATCTTCTGGGTACAGATAGCAATTCACTTGGATACTTTCCAAGCGCTCCTCAGCAGGTAATGGCTGTCAACAACCTTCTTGATCAACAGGTTCCGGAAGCCACGATATCTGAGGAAAAGAGTCAAGAGCTATTCGACTTTATCAAAGAACGCTTCCATGACAACAAGCATGCTCCACCTGATCGTCAATGGGCCGACCTGCTTGAAGGTGATCGATCAAATGGCGAGCATATGTTGAGTAAGAGGATGATGCAGGCTTACATCGGTTCTTATTGGTATCATTTCAGCGATCAGATGCCTATTCTTCACAAGCCTACTTTCTCTCCTGACAAGACACCGAACTTATTGCTCCTCGCGATGATGGCCATCGGAGGGGCTTGTCTCGACAGGACCCATGGACACAATGTGACAAGAGCAAGCGCCCAGCTCTCCAACTTTCTTGCCTGGCATCTTCGTTGGGACATCTTCATGGACGTCAACTTCAGGCCGCCTGCTAAGCTGTGGATTTTCCAAGCTTTGATTCTCCTGGAATTATACGAGAAGATGTTTGCGACAAGAGAACTCCACGAACGGGCCCACATTCACCATGCGACCACTATCACTCTCATGCGACGAGGACGATCTCTGATCGGCAAATCTGCACTGGACTCTCCGCCGAACCCTCGTGATGCATCCAATGGGTCTCGGCAGTCCTCCACGTCCAGCTCGACAGGAACAGCTGATAAATGGTGGGAGCATTGGGTTACAAACGAGGCGACCCGGCGTGCAGCATTCGCGGCTTTCATTGTTGATTCAATTCATGCTACGATGTTTGGTCATTCGGCAGTCATGGTAGCTCATGAAATGCGACTGCCTCTTCCTTGTGACGAATCTATGTGGCGAGCCGGAAGCAGTTCTGAAGTTTGGAGGATTGAGTCAAACTTAATGTCAAATGGCATCAAGCCAACTTCATTCCTGGAGGGTCTCAAGAGAACTTTGAGTGGTCAGGATGTCCACACGACATCATTCGGTAGAACGGTGCTCATGACAGGCCTGTTGAGCGTCTCATGGCACATGCACCAGCGGGATCTTCAGGTCAATGTCCTGGGCGGCGGCATCATCCAGGCTCTTGGTGGTCGTGATCGATGGCGGGCTACTCTCACTCGAGCATACGATACTTGGAAAGCTGATTTTGACAAGCATCTTGAACGAAGCGAAGCCGCTGACCCATATCGAGACGACGCTACTAAAAGGCAGGAGTTCAACGTCGTATTTGAAAGTCGCACGGTTTTGCACCATTTGGCACACATGGCCATGCATGCTGATATCGTGGATTGCCAAATGTTTGCACGAGCAAAGCGTCTACTTGGTCGAACGATTGGGCCTCAAGAGTTTAATAGTGCTCAAAGGCGAATCAAAGACCACTGGGCTCACTCCGCGAGGGCGAGAGATGCAGCCTTTTACGCTATCAAGTTCCTCTGCTCAGTACTTGCTCCAGATCAAGTATCTGCAGCACATGCGGGCGGATACCACCTCGATGAGCCTTACGACGCCCGCGACGATGTTCTCTTGAACCGGCCTTGGGTGATGTACTTCGCCGCCCTGGTTGTTTGGAGTTATGGATTCGCGCTCGAGGGACCTTGTCCCAATATTCCGCTACCTACCACAAGGCACGAGAAGCTGCAGCATATGAGGAACTATTTTATCAAATTCGGTGGCATCGACAGTCCCGGTGCACTACAAGGTCGATCAGGGGTCAACGCGAATACAGCCCTTCTCATGGTCCTCAAAGACACGTTTCAGGTATGCTCTTCTGAGCTTCAAGGCTGAGCAGTAACTAACAAGCTTGTAGACAACACGTTGGGAATTGCTTCATGAAGGATCAGCTCTTTTAAGCAATTGCATTATCCTCAATCAAGGCGGAACAATTGACTAAGATGACGGTGCTCAGTTCCCTGTTTCAAGCAGGCGTAAAAATGTGTGGAAGTTGCACGAGTTGCTGGGCTATGCCTATGAGGGCAAGGGAACGACATTCCTCCGCCCTTTGAAGGAGGATGAATAGCATTTACGACGGATATAAAAGGATATTGGCGCATGGATACAGAGGGTTTACAATTGGTATGAGATATGATGGATTCAGAACGGCATGGTTTACTTAGATGGAGTATGTGGCTTCTTGCTTTTGCACTTTAGAATACCCCAGTGTCGTTTTGCACAATATGATGGTTTTCAAGCGGAATGTCCTAAGAAGGGAATTGCTCCAATTGTTTGTGTAAAATCAAGGTATGGGTGAACGGGTTCGTCAACTCCTGAGATATTGTCCACTCCAAATTCGAACGCCGTTATATCAAAATCAATCAGTTCAGAGTATGGGGATTTGCGAGGCTCTCTTCTAAAGGCAAGTTCGCATCGTGAAGGAGAGCCGTCAGTTCCTCTCCTGCTGCACCCTCCATCTCTTCGTCTTCATCATCCTCATCCTCGTCATCTTCGCCAGTGTACGGCATTTCTCCCTCCGGATCAGTCTCAGAGTCTATGTCGATCAGAGCGCCGTATGGCAAGAAGAAGTCGTTTGGCAGAAGGTCGTCCTCCATGTTTGCGACTTGCGCGAGGGTCGCGCCCTTCCAGAAGGCTGTGGGACCGGCAGGTCCGTGAACATCGTAGTCACTGCACTCGGCATTAGTGAATTACTAGAAGGTGAGTGTTTGGTGCTATACCTATCGAACCAATTTCCTACGACGCCTCGAGCGGACCGTACGCCTCCGATCTGAACACCCTCACTGCGCCAGCGCTCGACACCATGGAAGATTGAGAATGTAGTCCATCTCACCTCGCCTTCTTTTGTCAGGCGAGCAGTGCCTTTGACGTTGAATGTTCTCATGTTAGCTCTGGCTGAACCTTTTCAACTTTACTTTTGGGAAGGGAGACAGTCTACTTACCTCGGATATTTGAGTTGGCATTGTCGTCAAACGAATCGTCCAGAGAACGAGATACACCACGAAAGTGAACTACTGGTAGCTCTTGGCCGTCTTCGGGGCCTGGTTCTTCTATAGATGTAACATTGACTTTCATCATGATAATGCGAGTTGCTTCACCCACATCAAGTGGTGGGCGTGGCGCATCGGCGGTGATGAGTTCGGGGTCACCAAAATTAAAAGCGAAGAAATCGCTATAATCAAGAAAGCACACAATCTGAAACCTTATCTGTCAGCTTAGATTTCATGGAGAAGCAAATAGATACGGGAGTATCCTGGGGCCAACGAACGCGGTACCATGTGCCTGTGACTCCGTAAGGGTCGCGGGCCTCGAGTGAAGTGATGTCACGAGGCGGAGGAGCCATAAAACTGTTTTGAAATGACCCCGAGAACGGGCTGTCCCAAACCTCAGCGAATATTCGTGCAATCTGGCGTCTTGCGCCAATGTTGTGGCCTAGAACAATGAGAATAGCCTCCACTTTTTCCCAGTCAACATTGAAAGTGCCATCGTCTTTGAATGGCCCCCATCCTGTGTTCTGGGTAAACTGGCGCAGGTCGTAGACCTTGGAGCAAGCATAGGGATACGTTTTCATAGATCGTAGGCGACCAACGTTGAGGATAGGCCTTGAATAAAGGCAGTGAAGATGGGCGCTCTGTTGCTGGAGAGTCCTGTAGCCGTCATCACATGAGGTGGGCGCAGAGATACTGTCTCGCGTGGGTTGCCGGCGCAGGCGGTTGAAAAGCGATGAACCCTGGAGGAAGGCCTCGGCAGTGTCGTCTCGAGAGAAAAGACTTTGCAGGTGAGCGACGTTGCGCGATGGTGCATGGGTCTTGGAGAGGTTGATGGCCTCGTCGTGAGAAGGTGAAGCATTTTTGAGCAGACGAGTGACTGTGTCGTGTACAAATTCGAGTTCAGATTTCTATATGTCCATTAGATCATACATTTAAATGGAACATGGGATTTCTTATCTTGTCTTACCTCTGGGTTGTTGCATATACTCTCAAGCTTCACAAAGTCGCGAATCTCTTGCTCGTAGTCAAGGCTCTGGTTACTTGGTTCATCCTGAACTGTTTGTTAGAATTTGTGAAAACCGTCATGGAATACATACCAGCGTGTTCATATAGACATCTCGATATAATTTGTGGTTCACCTTCGTTACTGTTTGAAAGGCCTTACACACGCGGGGCAGTATAATCAGGTCGGCTGGGGCTATCCACTGCAATATGTGATGCAGTATTTCAGCTGGAAGCTGCAGAATCGGCACCGTAGCGTTTGGACCGTCCATGGTGTGAATAATCTTGCGGTTTAGTTGTGTTGTCTTTGAGATAATGTGAATCTTTGAGATGAGGCTGCCATGTAATGACGATATAGAAAGGCTTCTGACGTTACTTCCGGCCATGTACATCGCATCGGACTTAACGTGCGGAGCTTGTGTGGGGGTGGCGCCGTCTTGGGATAATCGTTCATAAGCTTACCCTAGAGCGAAATCAAGTTCATGGTTTTTTTCGGCACCTAATCATAGAATATATTATGAAATGATATGTCTATTTCTTGTATTTCTTATGAGCCCCTCTTCTAACTTTTTGTGATGTCTGGTACTCATGGAAGTGCATCTACATCTTTTTAAATATATCAATTATTATAAATAATAAGGGATTTATAACTTAGTTTTATCAATATTGACCTTACCATGCTCAGCTGTGGCTAGGAGAAGATTGTCTGACCTCCTTCTCATACTTCCGTGCAGAGAGGCTAAATTCTTCCCAACTTGAGTAATCGAACACTCAATCAATACCTCGGTTCCAACTGGTACAGGTCGCATATAAGTGACGTTAAGTGTCCTGCTCACGCCCATATGCTGCCAGAATCCAGGCTTGTTAACCAAAGCAAGGGGTAATGTCGTACACCAGTCAAAGAGTGTGGCCGCGCAACCTCCGTGCAGGTTCTGTAGCCTGTTGCAATTATCGGGCTGAACTGTATATGAGAATACACATGACGGGTGAGGTCCTTCAGCATTGGTGGACACGAGCTGGAGATGAGGGATGAGGGTATTCATCCAATCCTAGGGTTATGGTCAACATCCGAGACGAACCCGAACAAGTGAGAAACTTACTCCTTGCTTGGAATGACCGCTATCATTTTGTGAAAGTTGTAACCAGGCTTTGACTCTTTCTTCTGGACTGCCCTCTTTCAAGGTCTTGCGATGATTGTCTGTTGGTTTGGTGTCGGACATGTTGTTTGGTCTTTAATGGATAAGTTATTGTACTCAAGCGAGGCTGCAGTCACCGAATCAAGATGATTATGAAATGTGACGGTAGATGACCTGGGCCTTTCAAAAAGATACAAAGCAGGAATCCGGGGTATCACATTGAAATTAACATCTGGCTTACCTTTACTTTACCAGTTGTCGATACCTCGGTCCGTTGTAAACGCTACCTAACCTTAACGTCCGTCACCCAAAGACTGGCCACCCCCACAGACCGGCCACCCCGACCAAAACACCAAGAA